TTTCAAGTGGGCCAAACGAGTAGGGCGAATAACTTAAGGATTAATATTCCTGCTTATCAGAAAACGTCGTGGGAGAGACACCTTGCAGGGCAGGGCGAAAGCAGACTGGGTAGAATTCCCACAAATTTTCGCCTTTGGGTTTACTCAGAAGACCTTTGCTATTCTGTTTAATTTAGCCGTACAAGGCTCACCCCAAGGAAGGCCATACCAACATATGCCCCTAAACTTGTACCTGCAATCAGAGCACGTCCTGCCTTTAGGGAGACATTTTGCAAAATACAATCTCCTCCCTCAGAATTGCTCCTCTGGTGACACCCCAACCCACAGACTTCGTCTCCTTCCTACTTACCATCTTCCTCAATTCTCCTGAACGTTCTACCACTTTACCGCAGAAATTTTTCAGTTATTCACGAAAAGCACCGCCCAGCGGGGAGGAGTAGGGGAACGAATATAGCTCCAGTGGTGAAACAGGAAAAACCAAGGAAGTCAACAACAGAAAACATTTCTCTCAAAAGCAGACACGCCCCACCCCCCCCCCCCCTCCCTTCGCCTACGGGGTTCTTCCCAAAGTACCCTGCCTGCAATTGTTGCGTGCTAGAGGATTGCGCAAGCCAAGTAATAATGGATCGTATTTCTAACCCGACTGGGCCAGCCCATCTGCCCTTTATATCTCGGTTGCTTGCAAAGGAAATCGGTCGGATTGGTGGTTGAATTTTATTGATCGTTGGTCCCTACCCAGCTTGCACCACCGTGACTCAGTCGCCCAGTTACTGTATTTTACAGGAACAAATGCTTTATTTTTTGAGGTAGCCAAAAGGAGATAAAAGCTAAGCCCTTGCCTAGTTTCACCTTTCACAGCTCGGCTAGTTGCAGAGGAAAACGGGTCAAGTAGCGCTTTGAGACCCAAACAAAGCAACGATCGACAAAGGGCGGCGTGGGGAAAAGGGCGAGAGGAGCTATGGGTTCGAGTTCAAAAACGGTTGAGTGAATCGTCATGTTCGAAGCTTCGGAGCTTTGGGGAGTTGAAGTGGACACTGGGTGACAAACGGGCACTTCAAAACGAAAAGAGGACGAAATGGAACCGCAAGGGATGAGAAGCGATCGCAGTGAGACAACAAGGCAGCACCACCATAATTTTCGATATCATATTTATATTCTATACATTTTTAGTTAACATATTCTACATTCTATTCTTTCTATTCCTTTGTGGTAAGCTTTTATCTTTCAAATTCGCAACGATTCATGACCTTTTCGGAGCGGCTGAGGTGCAGTTCGGCTTGGTGGGGGCACAAAATGGTATTGAGTGAAGCTTGTGATGGCCTGTAAATTCCTGTGACTAAAGTCGCTCATTTGCACCACTTTGCAGTTTCACGAGGAGTCTACAGGTCTCACCAAAGTTAGACCTGTTGGTTAACGTGAACTAGCCAGGGCACGTCATGTCACGGGGGGCGGGGGGGGGGGAGGTGGAGGGGTGAGGGGAGATTTTTACAATCCCCTACCCCTCCCCTCAGAGGTCCTCCCTCTGGTACGACATCCCTTCCTCACCCCTCCCACCTACTTTTCTTCCGATTTTCAATACTTCCCACCTCTTCTTTGGAGTCCCTCTCAAGAATACCTCTACCCCCCCCCCCCCTCATCCTCGCCCCGCAAAAAGAAACTGTCGTTCCCATATCCACATCATTAGACGGAGAGGGCAGGGGTAAACCAAGAAAAGATGACACTTTTTTCGAACATTTTTTCCGATTTTCTTTCATTTTCATTTTCTTTCAAAACATTTTTTTCGGAGGTCATTACGAAAGCTGGGGATCCCCAATAAGGAGAAGTGCCCTGGAACTAGCAAGACTAACTAAGCAAAGGCCACCCCCCCCCTACAGCGAAACAGCGCGGCTTGTTCTTCTAGTTCCTGTGACGTGCATTACGAAGGGAAAGGTGGTGTTCTAGTAAGCATTTAGTCACTTAGGAACGCTTTGGTTCCTGTTTTTTTTCCTGGAGCCTCATCGGGAACTACTTCATCCTTTTTCCTGCAGGCGCCATTTCTGCAGAGCCCCATTCTGCAGCTGGAGCCGCAGATTGTCACCATTTTCACCCAATTTCCAATTTCATCACACTAAACCGTCCGCCGAAGAGAACCGGAGGCGCAGAATAATCGGATTCCCATATGTGACCGAACGGATGCAGGCAAGCACGCAGAAGTAATGAGACCGATGAGTTAACGGGTTTAGTGGAGAGGCGAGGAAAACGAGCGGAAATTGATGAGTCCATGAAAGTCCCACGAATATCCCCCCACTTGCAATGCATACTTTCGTGTTTCGGTTTCTATGAATATTAAAAGATAAATGGACACGACACGACCCCTTTCAGTTGCATTTCTGATATGATCTTCTGTCTGCTGTCAAGAAGCGCTGAAGATAATCCGGCGTTCATTCAGGGCTAAGTATGTTCGGCACCCCCTTTGACTCAATAATCAGGGAGTGTTTAGGTGAACTATGGGCAGGTGAACTGATTAGCCATGTAGTTCGGTCCAAAATAGCCCACGGGAGTTGATATGGCACGAATTTAGAAAAGGTTATTTCACTGAAACACGGTCTCCCGCAGGTCGAAAAGGTAGCAGCTCAAAATTTGAAATTTTGAGTGTCATAATTGACTATTTGGGTTAATATTTGACGATTTGGGCTGAAAGCTTGCGCTTTTCCTGGACTATAACACTCAGCCCGCGCCCCCCCCCAGAGCAGGTCTAGTTGGGGAAACTCTTAGGTCCTTATTAGTGGTCGTATCTTAGTCGTTGGTGGGAGAAGTCGTACTTGCCTTTTGAAAAAGTATTTCGGTGCCGGTTTTATTTTCTCGGTTTTTCCTGTTTCAAGTGTGCCATACCACCTTCCGCTCCCCATTCCACATCAAAAACTGTAGGAATTTTCTTAAAAAATGATAAGTTGGAAAATTTCGGGAGGAGATAGACAGGGTGGGCAGAGGGGAGGGAGAGGGGGGGGGAGCACCGAGAAATTCCATATATCATGTACGCTATGTATCCTACTCTCCATCGACAGCAGTTGTTCAAAGAAAAAACTTAGAGACTTTCCGGCAAAAAAAAAACTCGGGAAAAGTGGGAGGACGGCAGGAATTTCGGAGAATTCAGGAAGATAGAAGGTAGCATGGGTGATGGGAAAAAGAGGGGGTCATCCTACCACAGGCGGAGGTTTCGAGGAGATCGTAGTTTGCAAAAACTTCCCCCAACAGGCCTGTGTTTGGAATATTTAGCCTGTGCTGTGTCAAAACTGGGTACTAAACGAGGGCTGACTATCGATGAATTTATTCAGAACCGGTTCTCTTACCACTTCGCGGAGGAGCTAGCGCCTGCCCTTTTTTCAAACTGCACGGAGTAGCCGAAAAATCGATTTCGGGTCTAGTGTGTTAAGTGCTGGGCCGAGTTTTCTGGCATTGAAAGCACCTTCCCGTTCAAATCAAAACCCTTCTGGAAAAGGCTTCTTCCCGAAGATTTCGACTATAAGATAACTCATAGAAATCGAAACTGAGAGCTGTCAGGGTTACCCCCAACGGGTTAATAGCCAGCAGAAGCTGATCGGCTATTTGTCATGAGGGAACTTTGCTTAGCTGTGCTGAAGCCTCAGATTAGCCAGTGTTACAGTATCATTCGCTTGGGCCTCTCGGGGAAGGGAGGGGCTCTGTGTCAGCTCGTTCTCCACCAACTGTAGAAGCTGGTGGGCACAAGATTTGGTGGACATCAGGCTGGCGCCGCGCCAAATCCATCCTCCCTTCCCAGAACGTCCCAACGTCTGCAGAGAGCAAGACCGCATGTGGATCAATCTATGGCGATAGTGTAAATGCCAAAGACTGGGATCCACTGGAACATCTTTTTCGATGGCTTTTTTGGCACTTTTCAGCCCTTTTTTTAAGTTCTCTGCATAATCTAAAATCAATGCGGACAAGGGCTACGCCGCAGTTGGACAAAAGGATATCAGCGCGCTCAATTCATTAACTTTTCTTGTGGTGAGAAGAGGAAATGCGACTAGGAAGTTCTATTTTTTACCAAACTCTTAGCGTTATCCTCGGGTCACGTTTCATATTTCTCTTCTAGGAACACCATAGTCCCTTCTAGGAGCAATTCAAAAGGCATAGTCCCAGTGGGGAGCCTGAGTCGATGTGGCTCTCAACAAATCACTCTGTGGACAGCCAATATGTCGTATGTCGCCGAGCGCGCATAACCCATGGATGCCCCCAAAATTGCTCAACAAATCAACTGCGGGTGGTCGTGCAGGGCAGGTACACAAACACAATTCATCTAATGGAGCAACGAATTTAGTGCCTGACGGCGTGGCCACATCCGGTACTAGCAGGTCGGACGAGGGAGACCAGGGGACACTCTTCCAGCTGGAATATCCATAAAAGTGCTCTAGCCTGCCGCTCCAGCGCCCTGTTATCGACCCAATGAGGCCTTAGTGTTCCTTAAGAGGAGCCGCAAAGGACATGTTGTTCATCTTGGGAATCGAGTTCCCATTGTTTCCGTAGAGTATCGATTTAGCCATCTGTTCTGTTGCTGCCCTCATACATACGCTAATTGGCAATAGTTCACGTCCCTCATCGGGCTCGGGATGCACCATGGTGGCGCCGGAGTGCATCAGACGCTGTCACGGCCAATGAAATTGGCGCCAATGAGGGCAGCGCTGCAATTGAGGTCAAAATTGGCTGGAAAATGGGTGTGTTTTTGCTTCATCGGGTGAAAAATGAGATGCACCAGATCCAGCGTTATGGAACGTTCTCCCACTGAGACCTGTTCTGAAATGGCATTTTTAGCTGATTTTCAAGCATGTAGCTGCTTCCAAACAAGGAAAGGGCATGATAAGCTTTATAAGAAATCCAACCCGACCCCGAGAAGAGGCGGATTGTTGTGTACACCGAAGGTTGTGCAGGGTTCAACAAGTTACCCCTCTCTTCAAAAGGCTCGAACGTTTTCATTAAAAGGAAATGGTCGTTACTATTACTTTCCAAAAGTCGACCGGAACCGCTACCACACGCACGGTCCATTACCGAATCCCGAACCGAACCTCTACCAAATCTTCGTCCCCGCGTTCTGAGAGGACCATTTGGGAGGACCCCGAACGGCATTGATCTGACCGCGTCCCGCTAACAATTGCGCTGGGATTCTGCTGATTCACGCCTCCAGAATGGGAGTTGGTCAGAGCCACCCGCTCTGTCCCCTTTCAGGCATCACTGTGAAGGCAAAACAAAAGCTCCCAAATCGTGCCGGAATTTGACCCCTGTCTACTCAGAATCGCTCCAGAGGGGTCGTGGAACAGATCCAAAGGTAAGTACGGAATTTTAAACTGTTATGCGATAGAAGGGCCACATAGCGCTATACCACAGTAAGCTAGAAGGATTAATGTATGCCCAGACAGTTGCAGTGAGAATAAGTGGCCTTGCACTATGGTATGAACAGCTTTGTCGTTCTCAAACAGTATTCTCTTTTTGGCCACCGTACTGTAGGAGTACGGTAGATCTGTAGTAGTTCCAGAACAGAAAGATGCATCTGCTGTCCCGGAAAATTGCTAAAACGGGATCAATGACCTGATCAAAACTGACCTATAACAGTGGGTTCGAGGTCGATCATCACTGCTCGTGGGACATGACGACCACTACCGGTTTCTGAGAAGAATGTCGAGAACGAGTCATCGCAACCTCCGAGCGATTTGTCTGACGGCATCTGACCATCAGGCTGGATTCCTGCAATCAATCATTGAGACCTCCGTGGAGTCTGAACTTTCATGGCAAACACTTAAGGCGAAACGGTCTATTCGTACCATGTTCGAGGCAGTACAGCTCCCAGCAAGCATTTCCTATCTGTACTCCAGCCTGGCCAATGTGAATGGAAATCACCTCACGCTGAAATCAGAACTTTTTTAGAGACTTCTAGGCGAACTCTAAGCGTGGGCTCGCTCGCAGAGTCCTTTAGGAGTCCGTGAGCGAAGTTGGAATTTTCGGAGAATGGATATTTTCGCCAAAGTCTTGATTCGAAGGATTCCAAGATTGATGAGCCCATTTCTTTGTGCAAAAAGGGCAGTTTCACATTACAGTAACCCGAGGTTTTACAAAAGTAATCTCCTAAATGCACCAACTTGGCGAATTCGCCTCGAAATGTGTTGTGTATGGGTTCGTTCAAGTGGAACTGCAACCGGGCCAGGACGGCCGTTTGTGAATAATAGCCATGTGTCACGCTTCCTCTGCGTCTGTTATAACACCTGCACCGGTAATTTTCGGGATTGATTCACCAGGGTTATTTTGCCCACTCCTTTCCCCCACCTCCACTAGAAAAATGGCTGCAAACCACTGGAGCGACTTGGAGAAGGGAAAAGATGGGAAAAATTGGGTTAATGGCACGAAAGGCACGAACATACAACTTCTAACAGTTTCGATAGCTTCACTCTCAAATAGAATTAACCTAACGAACTCTTATAGGGAGGGTTTTAGGAAATGGGGTGACCTGAAAAGGTGTAAGCGGTCTAGGGTCTGGGCCAACCTGAAACACTTTTTCAGATGTTATTGTGAAAAATTCTGCCCCAGCAAGAGAAGGGTGACAAGAGGGAAGCCAGTGAGGTCAGGGCAAAGAAACTTAGAAAAAGAAAACCCCGAAATTTCACAGTACTCACCATGGTTAAACTGAAGCCAGCTGCCGCGCGCTCGTTCACAGAGGGTCAATGTCTTCCGCTCGACGGCCGCGCCCACGACAATCCCCCCGAGAGAGGCTGGGCATGTTCAGCGTGGCCCTCTGCGTCCATGCCGAATGAGATCGAGCCAGCTGCAGCTCGTTCCCTAGTTTCTCTACACTCTGCAACCACGCCCTACGCCTCGTTCTCCAGTCTCTCATGGAAGAATGATGCTCGGCCGGTGGTCGACCACCGGCCGTGCGCCTAAGGGCAAACAGTATCAAGTTACCAACTACCATACATTTCTAATGGATATCGAGTTAGTCGGTTTACATCTGGCCTTCTAGGATGGCGGCGATTGCAGCAGCAGCGGCGGCTATGGCACCTCTACGTTCACCTCATGCTGTACTTCTCTACCAGAACTTGCTGCGAATTCTATAGCTCGTCCTGAACCACTGGCAGGTATTTTTCAGCGAAATCCCCTCAGCTCGCCTCTCCAGGCGGGCGCCCATTCCTCATGGCCATTCATGAGTTATGTGGCGATTTAAAAGCAGGCTCCACTTCACTAATGCTATCCTAAAGGGCATCTGTCACCGTCACTCGAACGGACTTCAGCTCAACGAGTACCAATGTCTGCGATATTCGTTGTTTATGAAGCCTGGCTGAGTAGGAGACATCCATACTTCGCACTTTTTAGCCCTGGTAAAAGAGCTCCCTCCCCTGAAGATGAATGGAGTTAGATTAAGCCGCTGAGATGTCCACATTCTGCCAGAAATCAAGCTCTTTTACTTCCTACTAGGCTAAACCCCGTAGTTTGGAGACGCCGGCCTAATGCAGTACGAATAACAAACTAGCGTCTGTATGCCTGAAACTACCAGGGCACGTAGTACGTTGGTGATTCCAGGCGGGGGGGGGGGTCGTACTTAGTCGCTGGAGAGGGGAAGTTCGTATTCACCTCACCACCTTTGGTGAAAACTGTGTTCGTTTGTTCAGTTCCCCGCTCGACGGCAGCTTTCTGGAAAAAAATGGGGGGTAGGATTTGGGAAAGTTGGAGGTGGGGGATAGAAGGGGGATATCGAGAGGAGGAGGATTCTATAGGAGAAAATTCTGAGAGGGGGTAATAATTTGTAAAAGTTTTCTTCTACAACAGGATGTGCCCGTTGCACTCGTCTACCCAAGCAGTTAATTAAAACTTCCTTGACGGTCTCAGTGATCTGACAAGTGAATTAATGCAGTCCCGTCATGCAAATACTCATTAAAGGAAACACGATCCGTTAGCCCAATAGAGAGCGCTGCACTAGAAGCTCAGGCGCAGGCGCTATAGCCCCACGCTCAGGCAGCATAGCGCGACAATGCTGTAGCCGTCTGTAAGTTATCTGGGCTTGTGATGTTGTGATTATAGTGCTGACAACGCAATCCTGAGCAGGGCACGCCCTGCCTTTGTAAGTCTCCTGCTCTGGTACGACCCCTCTTCCTGATCTCCATCCTACCTACCATCTTCGTGAATTTCTCCAGTCCCACTACTCCCTGGTTTCAGAGTTTTTTTCCAAAAAATCCCCGCTTACCCCCCCCCCACCTCAAAAAAATGCCGTCGAGCTCGAGGAGGGGGATTCGACGTGCCCTGGTCCTGAGATATAGCAGGCCGATTCGCATGCTAGAGACATTTGAGATGAGGTTCGTTTTCTAGTCGACAAGGTCGTCGATTTTACGACAAGAACGGAGTGGTTTCGAAATTTCGCTGTGAATGAGTCACGCAGAAAGTGCACATGAACGAAAGGAGTACTAATTTCTCAGCAACATCCGTGTGGACCTCATCTTCATAGAAAAGGTTTTAAACAGCCGGCAAAATTATTTTCAAAATTCCCAATTTTATTCGCCATGAGGAGGTGCACCGGTAAGTGCACTGCACGGCGAGAGGATGTCGAACGACTGGCCCCGCTCTGATTAAGCCCTCCATCCCTCCGCAGTCGGTTAGCTGATCCCAGGTTTCTTCAGAGAGGAGAAATCGCATTTTTAGAAGGAAACGCGAGCAAGACTTCCAAGGGCACCCTCATTCCTCCGGCGACACCGTCCGCATAGCAATCAGGGCATATCGCGGGTTTGCAGAGAGTTTTTGCTATCGTGACCCTTCCCCCATACTTCTCCTCCCACAAGACCCCCTTCTACAACTAGTCGGTCTCTTATCAAACGTACCCCCAAAACTTGCTATCCAGCGGACAACTTTTAGTTCTGATAAATGACCTGCAAGGAGGCTGCACTGCAGGGCAATCCTTGCCGCTGTGGAAAATTTTTCCAGATTACGACCCTACAGATTCCCTCCTCTGATACGATCCTAACCCCATCTCCATGCTACCTGCCATGTTCCTAAGTTTCCCCTATTTCCTATCGCTTTTCCGAACATTTCCAGAAATTCTACAGTTTTTCCCTAAAAAACTGTCCGGCGGGGAGGGGTGTAGCGCACGCGAAGAAAAAATTTGTGGAAAGTCAACAAACGAAAAATTTACCTCTTAGGGGAAATACGACCCCATCCCTCTATAGAGCAGATATCACCCGCCACAGGGGTCCTTACAGTGCAACGTGTCCTGCAGGGATTTGAAAAAGTTTTGCCGCGCTGCATTTTGAAGGGGAGGGGACACATGGCGCCCATAAAGCTAGAGAAATCAGCGATTAGAACATTTTGTCCCAAACCAAATTCAACCGCACTTCCCTCCAGCGACCGAATTCGACCACCGCTCCCCCCGTTACAGTTTCCAACATAGGATTTACCATCGATAGCAATACTATGCTTGTTTGATTTAACAAGACACTTCAAAATGACTCAAAAAGAATTCGGGAAATCGCTCATTTTCGTTTTTTCCACCTGTCGAATGCTGATTTCATGTGAACATTATGGTCTCACCAGCTCACATTATCGAGGTCAACTGTTCGTAGAAAAACATCTCAAACGATTACGAATGAGACTGACGCAACCAGGGAAAGAAAATATTCCATGACAACTGGAATCGCTTGAGATTCGTGAACTTCGCTTTTACAGTTTCTTACAGTTAAAGCCACAGGTAACCGTAAAATCGGTAAATTTTAATGATGTAAGCACCATTATGAGGCAAAAAGGAACGCGCCTTGCTCTTGAAGAGCACCACGAACAAACTACACCTCGCACAGGGCGGCAAGAAGGGCACTTTTAGAACGTACGACCAGGGCACGCCATCGTTGTGATAATCTCAACGGGGAGTCCTATTTGGTCGTTGTTGGGAAGGGGTTCCTATTTATCTCTGAGAGGAATTTGGGAAAAAATTTTTCGCTTGTTGACTTTTTGCGGTTTTTCCCATTTCTCTGGTATTATATACCCCCCTTAGTTGGTGGCGTCGCCAAACTCACTCCCAAACTCCTGTACAACTACTACTATTTCTGTTAGTTGAAAATAGTGGTTAGTTGCTGATGACCTCCCTCCCTCCCGCCGCTCGACAGCAAAATTTTGGGGAAAAACTAGAAATTTTTCGGGAAATGCCGGAAATGGAAAAAGTGGTAGGAAGTTGGGAAAATCTAGGAAAGTGGTAGGTAGGATGGGGGGGGGGTCGTATCAGAGGATGGAATTAGGGGATCGTATTTTTTAGGAATTTATCACAACCGATGGCGTGCCCTGCGTACGACCCCCCCCCCTCCTCCGCTCAAGGCGACGAGCAAATACGACCCTTTTATGAGAGTCTCGCAACTTTGTGGATTGCGCGTGTGAAACAAGTAAATAAAATCAGCCATTGAAAAAAATTCTCAAGCCAAATACGACCCCGCTCCACCGACCAAGTATGAATCTCCGGGGAGTTACTCAAAGTATGACGTACCCTGGTGGCAAGGTAGATGGGACACGGGAAGGTAAAGCCATTCACCATCGCCATGGCGCTCGATAAGGGTCCAGCATTCGCACTAGCTTGAAGCAACTGCGAAATTGGCAGGATTGGGTCACTCGCGCGGAGGTCCCTGGGGAGTGTCGCTCAGATGGCAGATGACACCAGTCCAGCGGTTAGGACAACGTCACTATGAGCGTTCTAGTACCCCGAGCAGTCGGTTTGAAGGGGTCTGAGGATGCATGGATTGGGGCCAATATTTCGGGTGTAAATGTTCATAATGGCTACTTACTCAATCGCTGGGTATAACAGGTGATTCAGTGGCAAGCTCCAGGAGGCAAAATGTGTTTTTTCACCTCTTCCCGGAATATTTCACCTTAATTATCATTTTAATTATGGAAGGTGCTGAGGCATATAATTCCCATCCTACGACTTACAGAGGTAGGCTGGTA